CAAGGACCAGAGCGAGGAGGGTCAACGGGGCAAAGACTCACCAACCGTCCCCCGCTGGGAAGGCCCCACCAGTTCTTGGAGACGGATTTGGAGGTTCCTGGAGGACAAGGACATGCAAGAGAGCAGGGTGTGAGAGAGAAAACAGACTGTGAAGCCCATCGGTTGTGCGGGTGACACCATCTCCGTGTCTTGGTGTCCCTCGACGGTGGATTCAAATCAACGCTCTTGACCTTTCTCTATGTTGATGACTGCGCCTTCTTAGCAACGAGTACGAAAAAGGAGATAGTCTCGTGTGAATGGTTATTGTAGGATGCTTGGACTCCTCCGGTAGGGGTCCCGGTAGAATTTGGTTTCCCCGCAGGTTGGGGGAGAGACACCTTCCTGTTTGTGACCCACATCTCTAGGTATACTTGAATGGCTTTCCTGTGGCTTTTTGCCAGCGGTGACCTCCTTGCTCTCCTCTTGATGGCTCAAAGAACGTGGCCGGTGGTAATTCTCTAGAACACGTTCTTGGGGCTCAATCTGAACAGCTTTCCCTGACGGGTGGATGGGAGTAGTAACCCATCACACCTACACATTCCAGAATATTAGGAAAGGAAGGATAAGAGAACCATTCAGGATTCCCGTGGGAGGACGAGAATTCCTGGATTTTGTTGGGCAACAAAAACCTTCCACTTTGTTCAGGTATACTAGTAACCCGCAATGCATGGGGGATTGGTTCCAAGCCACATTGCGGGGTGCTTTAAAATGAAGATTACATCAAATCTTCATTTTAATAGCGAATGCTATATAGTGTGGTCTCTGGAGCCCCCTAGTGGCCCGTTCTGATAATGACATCATAGAAATACATTTCTCAGTGAATGCTATGCATAGCATGTTCTCTGGCTCCCTCTAATGGCCAGTTCTGGTGACTTCACCTTTGGAAATATATATTTCTAGGATTTTTCTTTTAATATTTTCAGACCGTGGATAAGTGAATCAGGAAATACTGATTCTGCGGATACAGGCATCCTACTCTATGTGATAGTTATAACAATTTAGTTTCACTTAGCAAAGGATGGTGTTATGGGCATCAGCGAAGAGGGTGGTTTGCCTCTGCATTTTAATCCGAACATTCTGCCATATATCTGTAGGGCTGAACACTGCAGCCTTTGAGAAGATGCTCAGCATATGAGGTTCGGACTAAAAGCCGAGGCGGTTACATTGGGCTGTTTTGCTCTGCCCCAGAGTTCAGTGGTAGGTCATTTCCTTTGGAAGTAAGGTTGAACGCTCAAACATGACCATTTGCTTTCTGGGCTTGTTAAAAAAATTTTTTTACAAAAAAAATATTCCAATTAAATTTCTGAAGAGAAGGAAAGTGAGAGGAAGGCAAATAGTAAAAGAAAATAGGAGAAGGGGTGGCCTTCTGCGGAAAATCAATCACTCAGGTACAAAAGAAAAATGCACTTTATTTTTTTCTTTGAATCTTCTCCCACTTCTTTTCGGTAATGCACTGAGAGCTCACACACCTAGAGAACCTGTGACTATATGACTGTCAAGCCAAGGGGAGGCTGGGCTGAGCATCCTTCCACAGTATGGCTCTGCACAGCACTGATTGGTCAGTAGTTGTGAGGCCACCTTCCCTTTGTGGTGAGCTGCGGTTCCAGTATCAGGGGGGGCATTTCTATTGCTCTGAACTCTGTCTCTACAAAGAGGGTCCACTGCTTGGGAGTGCTGGGGTGAAGTTCCGAGGAAAACCCGGAGCGGACCCACAAACTGCCGGAATGATGGTTTGCAAAAGTGCCCTATTTTTTTTAAAAATGAAGGTTTTGTTTGTTTGTTTTGCTTCCATTCATTTGATAAAATTAAATACTGTAAGACAGGTCATGAATGTACACTCATGCACTTTTAAGACAGGTCGAGGGGAACCGCTTAGATGTTATGTGTAGGAAGGAAGGAAGACAGAGTAGACTTCGGTCAAGATGGGTGGGATATAAATTGAATAAATCACTCAATAAAAAAATGGAGGGAGCAGTGCTGTTTCTTTAATCTGGAGGCATGCAACACAGAGCGGAAACGCTTAAGCCATGTGCGCTGAATCTTTCTTCAAACTCTCATTGATTCACCCGGATCTTCTGTGATAAATCCGTGGCGAATCTCAAGCCATGTCCTTTTTCCGAGGACTCCGCAGTGTCTCCGTTGAGACCGGGCCGAATCAGAGACGCCTCCGGGCCAGGTTGGAGGGCAGCTGCCCTGGATCCATCCTTCTACAACTTCCACTGATTGTTTAAAAAAACAAAACACCCAAAACTCTTGTTGTTTCTCCTTTCCTTCACTACCTGTTGCGTCTTCTTGGCACTGATGAGCAGGGGAATCGGTTAACATGGAAACGCCGCATGGCCGCTGTGGGTCAAGAAAATAAATCCTGCATTGTATAAGGACCTCTTCTCTGTTGTCATCATCCTTTTCTTCCTCCGGGTTATGTGATGCTCCGTTGGGAAAAGGGGCCTGGATCAGAGGCCATGGACCCCTCCTGTTTCTTAATAATGTTAGTATTGTTCCATCTCCAAGAATCACACTTTTTCACCCACCGCCTCTTTCTCTGTGAATGTGCGAGATCCCTCTCGTGCCTTACTCATCGTGGGGGGGGGGCAGGAAGGGTTAAAACCGTTCCCCTCCCCTCTTTTTCCATTGGGTGCCGGAGATGGTTTTTCCCCGTGACCCCCCACTTTCCTAGTTTTTCCAGGGAAGCGACCAATCCACTCCTCTACGCTCCAGTGCCAGCCAAGAAGAGACGGGTGTTCACCCCCCACCCCGCTTGTCTAAATTTATCATCTCATTAATCCTCGCCCTCTTGTTTTCCTCTGTAAGCAGAATCAAGTGGAAAGGAAGTGTTTTTGGGGGGGCAGGGGGGCCACAGTGTCCCTAGGCACAGTCCAGAGGGAACGGGGGGAAACAAAACGCTTTTTCTCCCCATCCACGCCATGGAGAAATCCATCTTCAACTCATCTCACAGCAAAAAAGCAATCCAGCCGCTCCGTTACCTAAGGTAAGTAGCAGGGTTTGCCATGTTTTCCTTCCCAAACAGGTGCCTGCGCTCCTCACCGGCAGAACATCCGGGAGGGGTGCATCCACAGCGTCATGCCTCTGTAGCCGGGCCCCCCCAAGGACCCCCACCCCTGTTGAACATCTGTTTCTCAGCAACCAAACTCCCCAGTGGGGTTATTTTATCCGGAGATCCAAGCGCAGCCTTGGTGATGCACGGCTGAGCAATGGGTTTGTGCAAGTGGGCGTCGGAAAGGAGGGAGCGCGGGAAGGACGGCGAGGCGGGCTGATGAACCGAGCCATCTGGCGGGCAGGGGGGTGAAGGATCCCCCCCCAAAGAGACTAGAAGGAGACCCCCCCGGATAGAAACACAGAAATACGGTTCCCAGGCCTTCCAAACACAGATGAACTCAGAACCCAAATTTTGACCTTGACTCTCTTCTGGCGCTTGATCAGCGAGCTGGATTTATATTATGGCCCGTTATGGTGGAACCTTAATTTTAAGGCTGCGTCGGGGACATAAATCTGCCTCTATCTGGAGAGAGAGAGAGAGGTATGGAAATTAAACAGAAATAGAGAGGATCCGAAACAGCGAGTCTGGGATCAAACGAGGCCTGAACTCTGGAGGCAAAAAGAATGAAACCCGGCCGGTCCTACCTGGACGCATCCCGAGAAGGCAGGGTTCCCCGGAAGAGA